GGCCATCGCTATTAGGTTGGAGGCAATCGCTATTAGGTGGAGGCCATCGCTATTAGGTTGGAGGCCATCGTCATTAGGTTGGAGGCCATCGCTATTAGAATGCCATATTTAGAAGTTTGGAAGACTGAAAAGGGATGCATGATCATGGAGAAGGGAGGTCGAATTTGCATGCACATCGTTCAGGAAGATAAACTCTTTTGGAAAGAAGAAGGTTGATGGTCCTGGGCAGTGTCCACAAAGAGACATTGCCATATCTTGTGTTGGCGCCGCTTTGGCTCGTTTGAACAATGGAGAAAAAAAGCAGTACAGTGCATCTTATCTTTGCGACAGGGTCACAAAACAAAATCAAACTTACCGTACAGTTACAAGGGTAAACCAGCACAGTGCTGGTGAACATACATACTCATACAATATATACATCTATCCTACTGCTTTGTACTGTCCCGTTCTGCTCTGTTAATGGCACAATCAATCACAATCAGTACCTTGAGGTCACAAAGATAATTTCCAGCGCCCTTGCTGCCTGACAAGGTCTTACAAGACAATACCTGTGTGATTTTTAACTTTAGGTTGGCCCGGTATCTCCCAACGGTGAGAAGTGTGCAACAGTCGTGCTGCAAGTATGGGATTCAGGAATCAACAAAAACGTCTGCACAAAATTGCAAAAAGACACATTTCCCAAAGATTATCAAAGCAGGTTACTACATGTCATTGCTGTTGTTACCTGAACATGTTACTGCGGTCCGCACCCCTAAGATCAGCCCAGATCTCCAAACAGTCACAATGTAACATGGTCAAGCAGGCATGACAAAGCACGACCATCTCAAAGAACTTGCAGCATCAAGCGAGACAATGTCTGATAACATCATCGAGCCTCCTCCGTTGTACAGCCTGGCACTTGTGCTTCGGAGTTTTCTCTGGAACTGACACACACCAAAGACCAAACACGTACTCTTCGAAGCAACGCCTTTTGAATGAACTTGGTTCCTGGAAATATAGTCACACAATAGGTCTATGTAGACTTGACTAGGGCCAAGTGAACACAGCCCCACGCCTCTGACGCATTCTTGCTCTATATTGAATCAAATAGCTAATACTGCCCCATCAGATAGAAGCTGTGGGATTAACACCTAACTCCTGGCTTCGCAAATACCCTTTACCCACAACACCTGCTCATTAACGAAGCCAAAGTGTTCACATTGGATGTTTGATAACTCCAAGGGTGTCTTGAGACCAAGGAGAGTACAATGACACAATCACCAACATAACAAAAGGCCCAAAAGGCCAAAGTTGCATCACATGTTGAGGCTGCTGGCACTATCCAAGAATGGCTATAACCATTGATGGCTATCGAAGCTCCCCTTTCAGGCTGATTCCAAAGCATACTAACTAACCCAACAGTACGATGAAGCTAGCACTCTAGAACGTATGTTGCACTTGCAATGAACAGAACATGCAAATGGCTGTCCGCAGCCGGAGAAAGCATCAAATAGATCAAGTACAGTATCGATCATACAACACTCGTATTGAGCTGGTTCTTCGACAAGCCATGTCTACAGGGCTGGACAGTAAAGGTCAAATAGCTAGTGTTCATACTTGGACGAGTACCCAAGTAACCACTTGACAGCATTGAAGACAAGTCAACACAGCTGGTAGGTCTGTGTAAATGCCTCTTGTTGAGATTATAAGAACGAGAAACGAACAACTCACTCCTGAATATAATTATCATCCTATTCCCACGAGCAACCGGCTATCACCAGCGATGTGAAAAAGAGCCGGGGGTGCAGGGAATTCCCTCATCTGGGGGGGTAAGTCTCATTCCCGTAAGATGTAGGTCATCCGTTTCCGGAATGAGACACCGCAATCCATTTCTTAGGAGTCATTCCTTGGGAGCAAAAAAGACGCACGCATCCGGTTGCACGAATGGCCCGGCGTCTGGGTTCCACGGCCAAAGAATGAGCTTCTCTGTCAGCGGGTGCTTGAGAATCAACTGCCACAGGGACGAGATGTTGGAAGATGGAATGATTCCCAGTTCCTGCGAGTCTGCAATTGCATGATCCTGAAAACGAGAAATCATGTAAAACCGGATGAAACAAAGTCATACAACGATTTACCATAACTAAGGGGATACAGAGTGACTTTGGGATGGTGAACACGAAAGTAGTGGTGAAACACTGTAAACTCCAAACCTGTCCATAAAGATTCACCAAAAGAGAGAACCAGGAAGTGATGTTCTGAAAACAAAAATAGGCCAAATATGTCAAAATACATCAAGTAGAAAAAGCGTCTATATAGTAGTTTGTGTTAGTTTTCAATTTTTCGGGACTTGACCAAATAACATGAGGCATGGCCAAATTGAGCTGCGGATGCGGGGAACAATGGAGGTGGCCGGGGTGGACTGAACAGGCATCATGAGACCGACGGCACAGCTGTTTCAGCTCCATGGTTGGACACGCAGACACCGCCCGACCCAACGGCACCACAAATCCGTCCGTGAACAGTCCGACAAGATCAAGAGAAGACCAATCCAAAATATAATATAGATAGAGGCCTGCGAGAATATACAAAGAGGTCTGCATTCCACAGGCCTGATGGTCAATGATTTTGCTGGGGCTTCCATGCAAGTCTGCTGTTGCATGGGAGCAAAGAGCCAAATGGCCCATTGTGCCTGATAGGAGTGAGCCTCGTCCAGCAAGTGATCGAAAAGCAAATCCTCACAGTGGTGGTTTTTGCTAGAGCTGACAGCGGATCCATCATCCTCGAACTGATACGGTACGAATGTCTCTGGATCCTTCTTAAGACGCCCAGCATGCTCACTAAGTGATTCAATGGCCCACTCTTTAGAAATCTGATGCCAAGACTGTGAAGAGGAATCATGTTCCCCCAATGGCAACATACCCCCTTAAATAGTCCAGCCCCTCTCTAAATTGGTCCAGTTGCATTGATTACATGTGTTTGACCAAGTGCAACAACAGTTTCTGTTAAGGTAGCTTTGGGGGATACACCAAAACTGAGACCCCAACAGGAAAACTGTCTATGGTATTGGTGCTTTGTTTTGGTGTTTGCCGGTCTCACAGGACCATGTTACATGCTAACGAAGCTAAACCTCCTGCAACTGGAAAGGAAGGTTCGCTTGTTTCTCAGGAAATCACCATACGTGTCTTTCAGTTCCAAGGGTCGGCAATTTCTGGGCGCCTCCCGAACAAAACATGACCCGAACAAGAAAAAAACACAAAGAGACCAAAATCACCACTAGCAGTGGTGGTGGTAGTGGTGGTAGTAGTAGTAGTAGTTGTTGTTGTTGTTGTTCTAGCGGTTGTTGCTGTCACTAGTACGCAGCAGTATAGAGCAGGGGCAAAAATTCCGAGCCAAACCTCCAAAACTTAAAACATGGAAAGCTCCCGGCTGCGTTGATGGACCATGCTCACCATCACTTCCCCGTCCTGGATCAAGCGACACAGATCATCCGGCTGGGCATCTTGGTACCTGCGTTGGGTCGAGGGATCTCCTTTGTCACCCTCACGACAGGTCATGGATGACAGTGATGTTTGGATGTTGAACGAGTGAGGAACATTCAAGAGGCCAGGTAGATTCATCCTTCTGCTGGAGGAGTATACTGTAGATGGAAATACTCGTCTGAATGCATGACATGCGCGTCTGAGATCGTCCAAATGCGATGAATCGGAGCTCTAACCCCCTAAACTCCACCCAAGTTCAGCAGCAAGAAGTCGTGTATTAGTCTTCTGCAACGAGGTGTGGGAGTCCATAAGTACAAGAATGTGAAAAATATTATAACTTCTCCTATCGTTTGTTCATTAATGTTCATCGTTCCTGGCGGACATTATTTATGTGCTTTGCAATACAATCCTCAACACCCTTGGAGCACAATAACGGTCAATCTGATATGTCATGTCTGACATGTCTGAACTGCGGCAAGAATTCGGGAAGAATCACGTCCCAACATCATCCACATTAAATATCAGTGTTTTTTGTACCAATATCCCTGCAAATCTCAGATGCGGCAAAGTCTTTCAAACCCATGGTCCTTTTGACTTTGAAGACCTATCCTTCGCCGATCCTTGAACCAAGCTTGAAACATACTGCTTCACATATTATGTAAGGAACAGCCACTGAATATGACTTTATAAGCTTACGAAGTTGCCGCAGTATCGTAACTTTTCAATCCAGCGCAATCGCGCGGATGAGCCAAAGAACGCTTTAACAGTCCGTGATGAATCTTTATCCTGGTGATTTGAGGGCTTTAAACCAACATCTCCCAAGATGTGTTTGGTGTATGCCCCAAACCAGGTAGCAGGTCAGGAGGTGTTCCGAATCTATACTAATTACACACATCCATTCTATACTGAACAAAGCACTCATGCTTCTGTACCAATTCGGTCACAGGACCGTGAAAGCGCGGAGGACGGTGTGCGTTAGCTGCCACGGGTTCAGGGTCCTCTTGACCCACGTGGTCGCGCGGTCCCGGCTGGCTGGGTGGCAATCACTTGGACAGGGTGAGTATGGTATAAATTCCAAAAGTGTCTTGAAACTACTTCTGAGTGAGGATCTTGTATGTTAAAGTCTATTGATTGATAGCCCAAATGCCACAGAATACTCTATATATACACACTATATAATGCCTGGTTTATTGGTTTATATATATACAGTATATGAGTTGCGTTCAATTCAATTGCATTGGCTGCTTCCGTCAGGACAGATCTCCTTCAGCGGGTGGAAGGAAGAAACCTCTGTAGTGATCAATGCCCGCCCATCGCAAGTTTTGTCCCTTTGAGTATAGTCCTGATGCTAGCCTTCTGGCTAAACGAAAGGTCAATTGCCAGGTCAAAAGCTTGGCGCAAGTACATGATAAAATACTTGCCTGGTATCAATATCTGGACAGTCACATCTCTGTACATGTCCACTCATGTCCAGGAGCCACCCGACACTGGCAATTCCAAACACCCGCAGGGCCTTTTGCAGCCCCAACGGACCTACAGGTTGCAGTGCTTTTAAAAGCAGTCAGCACGGCAAACCTCAGCCTTGCACTGTGAAGAGAATTCCAACTGAAACAAAGCACCACCTAGCTTAGACCTACCTGCCTGTGCTAATAAGTGGCTGGGCAAGAAACATGCAAGAATGTGGCTTTGGACAAGCCCACACACGGAGGATGCGAAGCCGAAACACACTTCGTCATCCTTCCGCACGCAGGCTCTTTAAAGCTCGTGGGTACGTGTGGAAAAGAAACAGCAGCTGAAAAAAAGGCTGGTTCTCATGGCTATCGCTGGCTGTGATTTGCTGCAGTTGGCAATTCAAGAATTGCCCAAAACTTGGACATTTCCTGTATGCCACTCAAATCCCGTAGATGATGATTGTTGACAAATGAATCAATACCAAGAGTATGCGGGGCCAAACACTGATCGGCACATCATGCAACTACTTTTGCCATGGACCAACTCCAGGTCCCATCGGCCGGTGATTGATCTTGGTAATTCTTTTTCGGCTGCTGTCTATGCTCAATCATCATGAAACCAGCTGGCTAGTTGGACAGCCTTAATGCCTCGGGACTTGTTACCACACGGTCTTTTGAGAATGCTTGGCTGCTTGTCGGCTGAGTTCCTCCCAAAAACTTGCACATGTAGTCACATGTATGGCGACGGAATTACACGTCCAAGTCATCCCACCTCAAAGCCACCCCGCCTCAAATGACCTAGCCTGACCAAAGGAGTTGTGTTCTTTTGTAGACCTGTAATGACCAGCACGACAAGTCGCAGCCTGGTTTTCGAAACTTCACTCCGATCCAGTCGGAACCTACTGGGGTCGTTGCTGCCACTTGGGTCGTGTCTGGAATCTACTCTCATTCCCGAAGGCCTTTTCAAAGAAGGCAGTCCTCGAAACGTGCCAGCCATTCCAGAGCAGGATGGATTCGCTCGGAATTCAAAAACGATCCGTTCAGCTGGACGTTTGGCCAGAATCAACTCTTGACAGTCATTTGCTTTTCAACATACAGTATCTTCGCCTTTGCACTATGACAATTCGGGCCACATCCAAGCTCTATCTTGAAACTCGATCTCACCTCACCTCAGTCATAAAAGGTCAACCACTGAAGATCCATGTATTCACAACCCGTTCAACCACCTCTGGGCCTTGCTAGCAGACTCCTCCATGCCACCGGCATGAGACAAAGACCATCAAGGACACCTTGTTTTTCTTGGATGAACCAATTCTATACTATTATATTGAGCGCAGCATCATCAGGCAGGCAGTGCCTGGCACCGCAAAGGTGTAGTCAACTCTAAACTCTAAACCCTTTAGCTCCACCAAAGGTCCTGCTCAGGCTCCACGCTCAGTTTTGCGAGCTCTGGGAGCTTTGCCTTCAACGGGAGGACAGTGGCAGGAAGAAAAAAAAACAACTGGAGGCCAACGAAAGGATTCCTGTTTTTGTTTCTAAAGGGGGGTAGGCCGTTCAGAGGCGGTAGTAGTAGCTATAGAGGTCGGTAGCTAGTAGAAGCCAGCCAGTACCTACAAGTAAGCTACTACATATGGACGCAGGATAGCTCACGCTTCTTCAAGGAAGCCCCCCACCTGAGCTTCCTTGAAGAAGCGCTCGCACTATTCATTTGGTTCCTAGATCTCCGGGGGAACTTAAGTCCGAGCGACTTCATTCCCCTCCTTGGCACTCTGAGCGCTGGTGAGAGGCCCTTGTTTGGGGGTCAGTTGAAACGTTTTCTTGTCATCCCCCTGAGCTGTGCAGTTCCTAACCCCTCAAAAACAACAAATCTGTGAAGCATCTCTCATGCCTGGCGGACACATTGCCTCAAATTGTGCCCGCTGGATGCAAACATTAAGATAGCAAGAACATGATCAACAATTGACCCAAGCTTGTTGAAGTTGAAGTGCATTAAAATGTCAATGTTTCTTCATGTCCCCCCTTCCATAGGATGCCAAGAAGTCTTTTTGAGTTTGTCTTCCCAAAAACTGGAGGGGTGTCTCCTCGGCAAAGCCTTCTTACAGGTTTGGCTTGGCCGTGCCCTCTTGAGGAATGATGTAGGTTAGATGATATATATAATTATGCAATTATACGGCCATATTGCCAACAGTTCCTGAATTTTGCCCAACACTGACATCGCCGTGGCATGATTATCTCCAACCCAAGGGTCGGCCAACACAGGTTGAGGCCTTATGAATCCTTCATTGCCATGTTTCTTGGACGTAAGTTGGCTGTCACAAGAAAAGTGGTATATATGATGCAAAGCTGTCTCGAAGCGCGACGCCCCGAACGCCCCCCGAAAGCCCCCGAAAGGACAATCAGGCACCTCCTGCAATATCCTGCAGTATAATCAAGAATCAAACCAATCCGTCTCGAAAACTGACCCGAAAAGTACATCTTCGACCAGAAGGACTACCATTTTTCGCTCTGCCTAGCGCCCTTTCGAAACCGGACCTCTGCAAGAGGCGACTGGCGCTGGTGATGCCTTGGCACGCCAGCGCGATGATCCGGGAAAGGAATGTTTCGGAGGCCCCTTTGTGACAGCAAATATGCCAAACAGCAAATGAAAGACTGACACTCTGAAATGCTGAAGGCGGAATTGAAGGTACATGCATTCCTGCATGTACAGGCAGGGCATACCGGGGGATGTTAGTCTAAAACAAAGAATGGATTCTTCATGTGACCCACATAATTATGGTAGGGTATATGGGGATTTAAAATCAATCATTGAAGATCAACGATTTCATGTGTTTTATGTGTTTTTTGGATATTATCCATTGTGCCATCTTCCAACACCCACCTTCATCTGCCACCTTCCAACATGTTCAATCCTTCTCATCACCTCATCACCACGCATCGCACAGCGTTTCACTGAGCTTTCGCACGCTTGATCTCAGGCTCACCTCAGAGCGTTCTTCGAGTCTCCGTTCGGGCTGACTCGTTCAAAACTCGTTCTTCCATGGAAAGACTCCTTGCCAAATGCTCAGCTGGTGTGCATTGTTGAACATGCTACTGGATAGGTTTGCATGGCTTGCACAAAGGAACTCCAATAAGCCTTGGAATCAGGTATTCGGTATAAAATCATTCTTTTATTTGCTGTCTAACATTTCCAAACATATCTTAGGGTTGTTTGCAAAGTTTACAGACCATTAATATTGCAATACCAAAGCTGGACAGTAAGGTACTCTCCATTGTCATGGTTGTTTTGAAGCTGCATGCTAGTGAAAACAATATCTTTATCTTGGTCCGTATTCATATCCGGCCCACGCTATTCATCCCGTATTGGGCATACATTGAAGAAGAAGGCAATTGATTGAGCAGGTGAACATGCTCTTGACGAACTCCTGGCTACACGAAGCTCTAGAACAGTCCTGAACATGTGCACTCGCAAAGGCGAGCAAAAGGGACCTACCTCTCCAAAAGAGTATTACCTGGAACATGTTCCCATCGACCTCAGATTGCACACCTGTCACCAAACATCACCAAACCTTCCACGTGTTCTACCTGTATCTACAAAATTTGTTCCTGTTGTTCCTGTTGTTCCTTTTTCTTCCTTGATCAAGCCCTTAAACACATCATTGCATCATAGACAAAACAGGATAGTTGACACCAAGCAACCGCCAAAATTGACAGAACATATCAGAACAGTGAATCACTCCAAATATGTATATATTGGAAAACGTGCTCAATCAATTGGAGGGATTCACTGTTTATAAGGGATTCAGATTCACTGTACCCTGTATACAGTGATATTTCCTAAATTGAAAACCGTACTCTACAAACACTTCATATATATAATTGGGTCGTTTCCTGTGCTCAGCTGGACACAGCATGACGCAGCGGTCCCCTCAAGCTCCGGACGTCCTGGACTCACTGGACTGGCTGGTTGGCCAGGCAAAGAGGGCCTCTGTCGGGCTGGCCTGGGCAAACAACATCGAGGGGTCCACATGACATCGGGTATCTTACAACGCCGCCCTTGTGAAGACCAAAGGAGCTTCTAGATGAGGATTGCATTCCACATGGCCAAAAGTCCCCAAATGAGAATGACACAAAGGTCCCTTTTGTTCACTTGACTTGACCTTTTGCTGGAGTCAAAATCAACGCGACGTGGTCCCGGTGCCTTTCTGGAGCTGTAGACCCCCACTTACTCCTTGTCTGTCCGTTCAATTGAATGGAATCGAGCACACGTTCTCCTCCGTTCAACCGCAACAAAAGAGGAGTAAGTGGAATGATAGGGGCGAAGGTCCAGGTAGACAAGCTCTGCGGCGGCACTGTCGAAGTAGCTGAATCATCGAATCTCTAACTTAACATTCTGCTGTGGATTGGCAGCAAATCAGTGCGGGGAGATACCCTTCTCCACGCTTCTTTTGGATTTGGTGAAGGCCGCGAATCCAGTTGCATCATGGAGTTGCACCTGCGTGAGGTCGCGAGTTCCCATCTGATGCGTTTTATGCCAGGCTGCGTGGAGGGACCACTGGAAGGAGCACTGCTGGGCGTGCTTGCCTTCACTCCACCTGAGTGGCATGTGCGTCCTCTAGCATGAATGAGGGCAGCGTGGGGGTAGGCTGAAGACAAGCACTCTCCCACGGGTCCTGATGTTGTACATCCCTAATTCCCTACGAAGGTGTGCATGATCTTCCTCCTTCTTGTTGCCGCATGTGACTTTGTGGAAAAGTTCTGTCAGGAACCCTCCAAGGAAAGTCCCTGACACTGTGGGCTCTACCAGACTCTACCACCCGCCTCGCGGGTGGTGCGACACGACACCCGGTCTGCGCCCCGCCGCGCCCTTTTGTTTCGGTCAGCCGGGCCAGTGCGATTCCCCAAAGCACCCGCCGTGCTTGGGATCGCCCCAGGTCACAACTTCGCCACTGCCCAGCAGTGCAGCAAAAGCCCCGGAGGAACCACAAAGTTGGGCCACGTCTTGAAGACCTGATCACGGGTCCAACAGCCCTGTGCAGCGATGAATTGGAATGGAATCAGATCTATCCCGCCCCATGGGTGAAAACGAATGGTCTTAGCCCAGTGGTCCAAAGGTCGGCCAATTTACTGTTTGTGGCTAATGGGTCCAGACACCCCTGGAGTCTCAAACGGCTCAAGACAATCAGCAAAGTTACCTGATGTTGTGGAAGTTTACCTGACACTGATACTGGATAATTGAAACTCAAAATGAAGGTAGGTCGTCGCAAGTACTTAGTAGGTAGCCTTAGTCGCAAGTATCTACTATTGACTGTTTTAAGTATATGGATAAACTTATCGGATTTGTCTACACAACATCTTCACCAAATCTGCGGCCCGGTAGGGAAGCACATCGTGCTCACGGATTTCCACACAGGGGACTATGCTAGCTTTTCATTGTCGGATTGTTTTTCAGGTTGGGGAAGTCTCAACAAAACACATCAAATGCGATGGAGATCTACACTCCACTTCTGAGAAGGCTTTTCTGCCGTTCAGATTCACAGGATAGCTGTCTAAATCAGTCAAGACTTGCAGTTTGTAGTCAGTGGGACCAACTGCATAGTGCATGCTCCAAGTACTCACAAGTCCCACGTGACGTGGTATTTAGTGCTCAATGTGGAGGACAAACCAAACCTGGCGTCCAGTCCGGATCCCCGGGTCCAATTCAGCAAGCCACCTCTGTACAGGCCATGTCAATGGACTCGTCCTTGTGTATGAGGTCCAACTTCTTTTGTATCACCTAGAATAGTTTCATCTGATTCCCGTTTCTTCACCCAACTTTGGCGCCCAAAGACTCTCTTTCACTGCGGTGCAGCATCCTCCAGCATGTGGCCTGCCCCATGTCTTCACAGATCCATCGCCGAGAAGGGCAGCAAAGGCCTGCCCTGAAGAACAAAGACCTCAAACGCAACAGAAAGAGAACCCATGCAATGCGATGCAGCCGAACGTTCCGGATCTAAACAAACATGATTCTGATTACACTTGAGGGAACCATGAAGTGGGAAGTACCAAACCTTGGACATCGGACAGAACCTGGCAAAAGTACATCAGGTGTCGACTGGAATTGGCGGTCGATCTCCAGCTTCGAACCCACCTCAGGACACTGATCTAAGTTGACCTACCATGACCTCACAACGGTCCAACGGTCACGACTCTGAGCTATTGCCCTGACCATACAGTTCTTCAGCATCAGCAGGATCTTACACAAGCAAAGGACCCGAAATCGCTGCAAATCCAAAAGCAGCAAAACAGGAGGCCAACCATAAAAAATTATGCTCTACATACCTCTATGTCACAAAGAACAACAATTACTTCGAATGATCCCCACCATGACATTTCAATCAGTTGTTGTGTGTGTGTGTTGCGGGTGTGTTTATCGCTGTGTGTTTGTGGTTGTGTCGTTTGTGGTTGTGTTTTGCGTTGTTTATGGTGTGTTGAGGTCGGAGAGTGCCCACTGCAATCTGGAGCTTGCTGATGCTTGCTGTTGAGGTCCGGCCGAGCGGAGTGGAGCGGAGGATGAGAAGCAGAGGAGTTGCGGCACACTTTAAATATCTAACAACCCTCACCTGACAGGTGAGGAAAAACAAAGTATGCCTAACTGGCGTAAGACGCTGTCCACAGCTTAGAAGTAGTTGGCACATGCCACCTCTCTTTCAAAAAAGATGTGATCGGATTGTGTTCCTAAGCTTTTGAACATACGCATTAGGCCATAGACCTCTGCCAAAACAATATCAGCTTCTTGTTACTAGTAGCGATGCCCTTTGTTACTACTGTAGTAGCTTCTTGTTACTTGTAGTAATGCCAGGAGCTATTAATAGCGTCCTTGCTGTTAGGCCGTAGCAAATGCGAGAGACTCTTCACATCCGTGAGGTTCAAGTCGCTGCAATCGCCACCAATCTCCTTCACCCCCCAGCACACCACTCGGCCATCACTTCGGAGCGCCGCAAAGGCTGATTCGGACGCTTCAATTTGGCAAACATCTCCTTGGCAAGAATCTTACCAGTGATAGTGAACACGCGCACAGCACAAGACAGCAAGACCTTCAAGACCCCACAGAGGTCTTTGCACCGTGAATGGATTTAAGATATCACCGTGTTCTAACAGGCAATCCCCCATCGCTCAGAGCTCAGGATCTCGAGATGCTGCACCCGCTAGGAAGGAAGTGTACAAAGTAAAAGTAGGGCTCACTTCTGCTTCTACCAGTACCGCACTTTGCCAGCCAGGTCTCTGAGCTGCTCTTGAACATCTTTGCTGCATCCACCATGGTCTGGATCGCCCCAAGTCACCACCTCTCCGTTCTCGAGCAAGGCCGCAAACGCGCTGTCATTGGCCTGAATGAACACATTGACGTTGGAGTAGAAGGACTTGGTGAACATCATATTAGTTAAAGCCTTTTCATGGGTTTCATAGGCGCAAAACTTGCCCGATAAGCCACGACTACTATACTAAACTTCAACAAACTGGATGGTATACTACTCAGGGATGCTCACGGGGTGAATATGTCGAAGCTGGGTCCATCTCAAAATGAGCGGATTCCGCAGTTACGGGGACGTCTCCTCCACAACCGGGAGGTACGCAAATCCGCCATGTCGGGATGTATCATGTAATCAGCCATAAACCACCTATGACTCCACCTATGCATATCTTGAGAACATAGACAAACAACACATATGGGCGTCGGTTTAAGGCGTTCTGCAGACGACGGGCAAAGAGCTGCTTCACGTTAATGAGCTGGTCTTGCACTTGACCTGGGTCTAAGCAAGGTGATGGATGATGAGAACGCCGGTGAGCCTAAGAAGGCACAGTGAGCTTCGGGGTCAACCGAAGCTTCTGGCCTTCTTTGGACTGAACTCACAAAAGGTAAGAAATCAGTTGCACCATGGTTTCCCATGTTTGGCGTCGAACTGAAAGCTTATCGGGTTATCGACAAGTAGCACCATGGTAAACAGATCCGGGAGGTCATGTACGTTGATCCTTGGAAAACAACCCATATCGGTGACGGATCCGATAGAAAAAAACCTGCAACACGGCATTTCCATGGCCTCAAGTGGCCTAGGGAACAAAAGGGAAGGCATCCCCAACTCCGCCCCGAACTGTCGTTTGAAAGGGTCTCCCATCTCCATTTCCTTGGTCCATTATATCCTTGCCATCTTCAGCACATGGGAAGGCCATGATTGGGTGTCAAACCCTGTCCCGAAGGGCTGTTCACCACCAAATCGCTTTTCAAAGCAGGGGGCTCACGGGTCTGTTCCTGGCGCGAGCCAACGAAGCTCCAGGTTCAGACTAGGATATCGAAAGAGGACGCTCTTTCGACGTACCTGCGCTCAACTTTTGATCAAGCTGTTCCAATTTCGATTTGGTTGCATGGTGGTTGCTCACGATACTTTCCCCGCAAACAGGTTTCCCACCGCTGCCTTCAGCCGCCGTCGTTCGGCCGCGTTCTGCAGATGAGTGAACAGATTGTTAAACAATTCAGTTGCGCTGACCTTTTCACCTTGCGGTTCTCTCACCTTTTTCCACCTGGGAATTGAGTTATACAACCGAAAACCAATGTCAGAGTGTGAACCGCTCAGCCGTCCCACTTGGGTGCTGGGTGTGATCCACTGGGGCGCTGAAGTCATGCTGGAAATCGTGTAACAGATTTTTCGGATCCTTCATTCCTTGGATTTTCTCAACTGACTCTTTTTCACCACTGGATCAACTGCTCCAATAGCCGCCGGGCTTGTACGGAGAATGAACCCAAACGCGGTTTCTACCCCAAACACCCCAACCCCTCCCACCCAGTAATTAGGGTAACAGAGGGCAATGGTACTCGGCACACTTGTGTGTCGGTGCTTTTCCCTCTGTTGTCCCTTTTCTAGTCTTCTCTACCCGGGCGGTCTAAGACTAAAGTCCCGCTCCCTAACCATTGCAATTAATTCACTTCCGCTAAGTATTCAGTAATTCTAGAGTGCTAAGTATTCATACACACACACACGGACACACGCATGTACATACACCTCCCTGCCCCCCCACTTTCCTTCTTGCGCTTTTGGTCATTTCGTGGGCTTTCTCTCAGGCTTTTTAGGTTGCTCTTGAGGCTCGTTTCCCTACCCCAGTCAAGGGCTAAGTATTCACTTTTTTCTACTCCTACCTTTCTCTCTTGCCCTCTTAGCGCTGCTCTTTCTGTGCTTCTTTCTGTTTTTTCTAAGGCTTTTTAGGTACCTATTCAGGTCGTTCGCACGAGCGCCGCCAAGCGGCACCGTGTGTGTGTGTGTCAAACCCTGTCCCGAAGGGCTGTTCACCACCAAATCGCTTTTCAAAGCAGGGGGCTCACGGGTCTGTTCCTGGCGTGAGCCAACGAAGCTCCAGGTTCAGACTAGGATATCGAAAGAGGACGCTCTTTCGACGTACCTGCGCTCAACTTTTGATCAAGCTGTTCCAATTTCGATTTGGTTGCATGGTGGTTGCTCACGATACTTTCCCCACAAACAGGTTTCCCACCGCTGCCTTCAGCCGCCGTCGTTCGGCCGCGTTCTGCAGATGAGTGAACAGATTGTTAAACAATTCAGTTGCGCTTACCTTTTCACCTTGCGGTTTTCTCACCTTTTTCCACCTGGGAATTGAGTTAACCGAAAACCAATGTCAGAGTGTGTGTGTGTGTCCATGGCCAGTCGTCAGAGCAACCACCGTGAAGACTGTCGTTTTCTTCTGCGACTCATGGCTGCGTCGCTGTCGATTGGCAGGTTCAAAATGGTAAGCTGCCCGAAAGGAAGGTTGGAGTAGAAGTTCTGGTAATCAGGGCCTCCTTTCTCAAATGTGAGATCCAACGATCCTTGCAATGTGTTGGGCTGTGTTCGATGATCGATACTGAAAAGGCTTCGTGATCTTGGCAATCCTAATTTGGGCTGTGGTTTGACCCGCTGAGTCTATTGGAGAAGCCAAAAAGACCTGATGAAAGGAGAATCCGAGGCCGTTTTGTTTTTGCTCTTTTCTACAAAATGGGAAGTCAACTAAAGCCCGGTACATCCTCCCTGCACCTCACTGTGGAATGGTCAAAGCACCTCTTAAATGCTGGCCCACAGCCAAATTCTACATCCACTCTACACATAATTGGTGCAAAGCAAACAATAACAAACAGGACGGGGTGTAGTTGATTTATCCTGGGGATGTGCACCCTCCCAGGCTCAAACGCCATGATGCTGGTGTCAGACTGCATTGCATCCCCCCAACAAACCTCGCTTGGCGCGGAGATCACCGAGATGGATGTATCTTTGACTCGAGGGTCCGTCCCTGCCTTCACAGAAGATATGTGGGGAAGCAAAAACCCAACCAGGGAGGCTGTCTTTGGGGAGGGCTTTCCTCCTGGGACAGGAACAGGTAGTTTCCCTTCCAATCTTGAGATATCTTCCAATCTTGAGATAGAGATACAGTCATATGCAGGAAAACATTGAGATTCATCGGGTCTTTCATATGGTCCTTCGTGCACCAAGCAAAAAGTGATATTGCCATTGCCATGCAATTTCAGAAATTCTGGAGGGGGCAATTGGAACTTTCACCAGAACTACACACGCAGTTTCCAGTCTCAAACACATGGGACCCACCTACTGCCTCATAGAGCACAGGTGGCATGCACTTCCAGAAAACCTCGACCATGAAGTGACTTCTCTTTGACTTTCCTGCTTCCTTGTCTCTTGTCTTCACACCCCAACCAGTCCCACCTACAAAACCCACGCAAACTCGTGAACCAGCAAATGGCTGCTCCGACCGAGGATGATCCCAATGAGCCGGCCGGCCACCGTCCGAGTGGCCACTCGGCCACCGTCACAGATCGCCGCAAAGGCCTCGTCCGATCCGCAGACCGAGCGCACCTGCGGATCCGTGTGCGAGTCGATTCAACCAACTTTTGCACGTCCTGACAGGACTGTTGTTCAGTTATGTGAATACTGGACGGTGAAGGCGGTGAGTCGGTGTCCAGTTTGTCTTGGCTTAAGGAGAAAGTTGACCCAATTTGTTGTCATGGTTTCTTGGTGCGTGGGAGTTGGTTGGCCTGTTTCCAGACTGAACAAGCTCGGCGAGTTGTGCAGGAGTTTACCCCTGGCTCTGACGGCAATGATTTCCAAGTACACATATTTATTATATATATATGACAATGAGGCTGCAGGGCTTTCACAGAAGTGACAGTCTCTAGACTGACAATAAGCCTCAAACAACCATCACTCACTGATGAATGTCGAACATGTGTGAATGTGTCCAAGGTCTTGTGGTCGAATTTGCTTGACCACCAAAATTGGCTTGGATGAACCTCATCCCTTTAGATTGTGACACCGTGTGACACCCTGTAGTTGCGAGATCAAACATGGTGAGTTCAAAGCAATCGAAAGTTTTCTCAGAACGGCCTCGCGCAGCTGTGCTTCTACGTGACTGCAATCACCGCCACGACCTGCAGGTGTCCAAGAAGCTGGCACTCAAGTTTAGGTTTGGTGATTGACATTACGAGGAACAAGAAGCTACTAGGTGGAGGCCATCGCTACTAGGAACAAGAAGCTACTAGTAAAAAGGACCCAAGACAACTTATGTTATTCTTTGCATGACTTCTGGCCACGGAGTGCTCATCCGTCCTCCTTCCCCATGCCTGCTCATGATAAGCATGATCTCCTTCTATCCCCCTTGAATGCTCAGGCCACTCGGCCATTCAGAAACGAAAAGCACAAGAATTGGCACCCACTGGCACAGATCAGTTTTTTAATTATGCTAATTTCACATATATATATATGTACAGTCTGGCGACTGTCACTGGACTTCTTTGACTGTGACTGGCCAGCAAGATCCAGCAACAAAGGAAAACAATTCGATCCCGAAATTGACTGCGAACCTTTGTCGCCCCAGGTGATCACGTGACCATTGGCGTTTTTGACTGCAAAGGCTTGTCCACCGCCCCAGATCTCCTGAAGAGGCGCTACCAATGTTGCCATCCTCCCTCTATGAGTCTGAACAGCTTCGTGTCCTTCTGGCTCAACAAATAGTCCAGCAGGTCCAAGTAGGCAACTACTGCACTAATTAGGGCTTCTACAACTGTAGAACATTTACATACATTTACTATATAATATAGTATACATTCTTAGACTCTTATATCCTCTCATTGAAATCTCTGCTTGAATCTCCTGCACCTCCACCAAGTCCTCCTGAACTGCATCACACCTACCACCATCCTGATGATTTCCCCACGTCACCACTTGGCCATCCACCAAAGCAGCAAAGGCTCCCAAGGTGGAGCAAATCTCCTGCACGCCTCCTTCGTCACCGCACCGATGCTTTCTTTTCGAAGGATAGTTTTCCGCGGCCACTGACATAGTTGTGTGCTGATCAGGGTATTTTGGAATCTAAGACAAGCCTTACTTTGATAGAAAGCTCAAATCAGCTTAATCTTTGGAAAAGCATCATGAAATCTAACATGTGTCACTCATTTGAAGTTTCCAAAGCAGTTCTTCGATCTCACCCGACTTGGAGACCTCTCCGTCTGCAGTCAGCACCTCTTTTTAGCCATTTCAGCTGAGCTTCGAAGTTCGTCCCTCACCGGACTGCAATCTCCGCCATCTTCAGGATCGCCCCAACAAACCACTGAGCCGTCCTCTCGCAGCGCCGCAAATGCACCCATCGTGGATTGGATGTCACAGACCTTGGGCGATGAAGATCGGGATCCAAGTAAATCTAATATTATATACATATATATATATATTGTATGTGTTTTTTGTCTTAAACAAAACAACATATATATATATAATTAGATATATGTTTGTCTAAAACAAACTAAATATGTATATACACACATTTGTTTAATAACTATATAGTTGTTAAACAAATAAAAACTAAACAGCTTCTTGCTCCTAGTAGCGATGGCCCCCAACCTACTAGCGATGGCCTCCATCTAGTAGCTTCTACATACTTACTAGAAAGCAACAGCTTTACAGTGAATAACATCTACATTGAAAATAGTTCCTGAACACATATCCATTTATGTGTGTTCTTTGTGGGGTTGTACTAGTGACTAGTGTACAGCACATAATGATATAGTTCACAACTGTTCACATGTAATTATATAAACTGTTTATCGCTCGATGTGTGCCACTCAGCGCTAACAACTCTCAGCACTAGGTGGGGCAAATTGAAGTGAAGCCGCATCATGAAGCTGCTCTTCAACCTCCTTGCTGAACCATCCTCCACTGTCTCCGTCTCCTCAGATCAAACACTACAAGCGCCGGAAGATGGTACAAGTACTACACAAGTATTCGCAGGAAGTCAAGTCAATTTTTGGTCCTCAGAAAAGTACTACGGTCAAACAAACTTGATGTGCCGCTGCAACAAAAACACATTCAAAAACAAGTGCAAGTCTCCCCAGACCATGACAGAAGCATCGTCTCGGATTAAGGCAAACGCTGGTATGTGCCGGGTTGACACAAGTCTGGAGCAACGCACCGTTGCAAAGACTGCATCTCCATCCTTCAGTCCAGTCTCAGCAATCGTGCTGCGGGGATTCAGCAAGTGGCCATCCGATGTGACCGTTTGACCTAGATGAACCCCCAACTGCTTTCCAGCAGCCACCAGCAAACTGCTGATGCCCTTATTGACTGAAGCAGCGACCGAGGCCGACTGCCCACTGAGCAGTAGGACCTCCACTTGAATCCTTTCAGTTTCAGTGTCTTCGTCTTCACCTGGCTCCATGCCACCTTCAATAAGATTCAAGGCAACATGGCGTCAAATGGACTCCAGGCCAAGGCGAGATAATATGTCAAAACAAGGGTACTCTCACCTGTGCATAGCAACACCATCGCTGTGGATCGAACATGTTCAAATCTGCATGTCAATATTAAACAACACATCAGAATTATGCCGCATTCTTTGGATTATGGAGAACCTCTCTGTTAGCTCTTGTAATGAAACAGCACATGCCTCTGAGTTCCCCTGAAAAAGAAGAGACCTCACAACCCACTTGTTTCGTATTGTTTCATGCCATTTACAGAGATGACCTGCGGAAAGCCTCCGCAGACTCGCGGAGCCGAAGCACTTCGGCGGAGAAAACGACTTACTGTGCGATGCCCTGCCAAACGGGGTCGTCCTCCACCGAACATGGAAGTGCAAGTGGAGCTCAAGCCCTGTTTTTGCAGAGGAAAGCAGTCTTCCAGGGGTCCATGTCCATGTTCCTCTTCCATCCTCTTCCATGTGATGTTTTCGTCAGAGTGTAAATGTGTCTAGACATTACACAGAAAATCAAAGAAATGTAAATTGACGGAAGTGAGGAGGAAGCAAACAAAAACATAGTGGCAAGACATGTGTGCAATCGTGGCACTCTTGAGAGCATACGGACATGGAGAAAATGGAAACAACAGCAACAACAACAGCTTAACTTCAATGAGCTACCAAGATCTGTTGGTTCCCTATGATCGAATTGAATGATATGCTAAGAAGAAAGGGTATCGGGTATGATCCGTTGCAGCCACATATGACAGGACACTGTAACAGCATTGTAAGCCGATCAGAACTTTAAGAGAAAAGCGAAGACATCTGCCATCAACCAAGATTGTCAGAAAAAGCCTTATGCAGCCGCAGTTTCACCAAAGGATCGCTAGAGTTCAGCCATACTTCAGCCACAGACTCCTAAACACAGTGTTCTGGAAGCCTCTTGGAACGTTGTTTCCCATAAACATCCCGGTGAAACTCGTGCAGCCAGGTACTTGCGGCCCTGTCTTGAGTCGAGGACGAGCCGTCCGGTCGAGGACGAGCCATCCGACTCCGTCCTGCACCCGGGATGTCCACTAGGAAAAAACATACAAACATGGTCACCTGAACCTTCCGTGATGTTCTACATATCATAATCCAATGCCATTCAGCACACCACTTTCCGGCCGTCTAAATCGGCACCATTGGGCTCCCAACGGCGAATCGTCCCCACTGTTCCGCGGGCATCCGAAGCGCGCTTGGGTGGCCTGGGTGGTCGCGCAGCATCCGGACTGCTCAACCGAACCCTTAACTTGTTGTAGTCTCACTGCCGCATGAACACAACCAGCAACGAAGGCTGAAGCGGGCAACTAGCATCTATTAGCATCTATTCGCAAAGGATCACCAGATGATCACCAGATTGCTTGTCTGTGCACTGTGCACATCCTATGAACCCCAAAGAAGAATGGTTCCGAATCTACACCCCCGGGGTAGACCCGATCGTCGGACGAACTGAGGTCACTGACGAAGCAGTGGCAGGATTCCACCATAACAAAGCCCTAAAGCTGTGGGCACTCCGTGAACCTTGTTGCACAAGCACAAGAAATTGTTATATTCTTCCCCTTGCAGTCTGATCATTTATGTCATCTCCACCTGGACCTGGGCTACCAAATCCCAAGCTTGGTGGGCTATCCCAAACAACTGCAGAGTCTAATAGTCCTGCACCTGGCAGGTGCAAAGACCCAAGCAACAGGTTGTAGGAAAACGGGCACCAGGAGATATGTAGATCTCTCGAGCCTAATTCGGCATTTCAAACGAGAAAATTCACAGCTCTGGCCGGCACATATGCAAAAAGCTGGGCGCACTTTCAAATCTGAATCAATGGCCGCCAAGCGACCAGAAACAACAAACGCTTTGGTGGAAAGAAACAACGACTGTCGCTTGGGCCCTCAGCCAAGCGACCGTCTCATTGGGCCCCCGGTTTCCCACGACGAGTGACGTGACTGACGTGGTGACCGTGGAATCTTTCGGACCTGCGTTTCACAAAGGGGGCCGCGGCCGGCGTTTCCGCGTCAGAAGGGATTTGTGAAGTCATCCTTCAGTTGCCAGGGGTTATGACGAAATACAAGAAACAGTTGCATATATAACGACGGCCCGGAACTTAGAAGGTAGCATTTTCGGCACTTCAAAACAGTATATACATTTAGAAGGGGGGGTCCTGCTGCGCACCTTCTAAGTTTACGGGCTGTTTTGAATTACCATGCATATAGCGCTATATGGCACCTTCGCTATATGTATATACTACACACATATATATATATACACACAAACCCTGTATCTGAAAAGCCTAGAAGAGATCTACCAGCGATG